ATTGGACTTGTCACACCCACCTCGTGAGTAATTCACTAGTCTGTTTGTTCTCGCCCGAGGAGCAGATGTTGCGTTTGGCGTTGTATTTCGTGGCCGTGTCTGAGGTCGTCGGGAGTCGGTTGCGCCGCCGCCGAGACGTCGTCGCTGGCTGCTTGCTCCAGGCCGCGGCTCGCGCCGCCGCCGCCGCCGCCGTCGGTCATTCCCTCTGCGCTGCTTCCAGGAGGCCTTGGAGCGCCCGTAAAGATCTGGAATTGTCTTCTCCGCCTTCTGATTGGAGGAGGTGCGGCGGGCGCGGATGTAAAAGAATGGAATTTATATTTTTCTTTGCTGAACAGAAAGCAAGTTCTGCGGTTTAGAATGGGCACAAAAGAATGTAGAGCACGGAACGTCGGCCTGGAACGGCCGAGCTAACAAGAATACGAACTTCAGCAGAGAAGTTGAAAATGGGGTTGTAAATTATTTGAGAGAATAATGTTTCGATTTGATCGAATGTAATAAGTGTTTTGGAAACGATTATTTCATCGCCCTCTTACTATTTGATATATTCGTAAGTATTTGATAGAAATATTACAATTGAGAAGACAGTGTCATTTTGGTCACAATATTTCATTTGCATACAACTTTCTAATGCTAGCAAAGTGCCTAATATTGATATTTCGTGAACCAAATTTGACGATGATGGAGATAATAAGTACGTACTTCTAAATAACTTTATTATAAAGAGCGCCTCGATTGTATTGATTGTTAATTATTTCGACTAATCAGGAGTTAAAAGAGACAAATGCACTTCTATGGATTATTTTAGAAACTACAAATTTAATGAAATTGTCAGTCATGCTATTATCACTCTTCACGTCTGTTGACGGTCAATTTTTTGCGGAAAATTCAGAAATATTTCAACATGTATGATTACAGTAAGCCTTGTAAAACATATTTTATGTTTGGCTACAAAAATATCAGAGGCGGGAGTTTTGTTGCATTGTTTTCGTTTTCGTCGCTAACTCGTACGTCTGCTATGAGGGAAGTCCGTTTCCAGGAACCGAACTCCCCATTTTCTTTTTTATGTAGCATTTTTATTCCGCATAAACAGCGAATATGCGACGTATGTGATGACACTGTACTTTTACGGTGACAACGCCAGGAGTCGCGTGATATGAATTCCACTGGTGTGCTCGGCGTCAGAGCTAGAAACATTTGGAACCCGGATAATGCTGAAATGTAGTCCACACCTACTCCCGAAAAAATTAAAAATATGAAAGTTGTGTCAAGAAAGTGTCGGAGTTATTTTATTTTATTCAACAAATTACAAAAATTACGTTTCAACTAGAAAAAAATGTTTGGAAAAAATATGTTTAAATAATCGTTGTAAGTAAAAATATTTAGTAATCAAATAAAACAATTTCCATATTGAGCTTAAAACGCTGAAAACATGGTGTTTTTTTTCCTTACTGTTTAATAAAACCACTTGTTAAATTACATACTATATTTATTTCATGTATGAAATGAATATTTATAAATATTTAAGGAAAAATGTTAATTGGACGTTTTATCAAATTTCAGCCTAATGTACCGCGACGTTTAAAAGTACGTTAATAATTTCCTCGAGTTATATTTTCTCCCCCCCCCCCGCCCCACGGAACAGTTCTATTATCGAGCCCTTTGACTTGTAGGACCCAGGGCGACCGCCCGATCTGCCCATGCCTATATGAGGATTCATTTAACAGTGCACGTGACGAAAATCAGTTGTTCACGGTTTCAAACTTAATGGTGAGCTTGAACGTCCTTATGGCGACGTCACGACAGCGCCATACAAGCTCCGGATTGAATGAAACCGCAACAGCTGATTTACGTCAAGTGCACGAGAAACAAATCGTACTTTTTTTTTGGCGCCAGCACTGCTCGGCGCCTGTGCTCCGCTGGCAGCAGCTTCCCTTGGGGAGGGCGCGCCCCCGCCCCTGCAGCTGCGACGTACAATTCTACATCCGTTCATTGTTGGCATTCCTCTGCGCGCGATGATAGCGCCTTTTTCCTGTTCCGCCCCTTTCTTCTCGCTTCGCTCTTGTCCCTTTCCCTTGGTTCCATCGGGTCTCTGATACATCTCCCCCCCCCCCTGCCGCGCCCGACCGCTTCCTTCACGCAGGGCTTCTCCGAGGGCCACCAGACGGCGGTGCCATCGACCCGCGGGGCCGGCGTCCTCTCCGATCTCCCTACGCCCGTTTTGTCTCTAAGGACGGCGCTTATTAGTATAGTGATTTGTTGCTTACTGAAATTTTATGCTTTGAAGGAGGAGGCAAAATTTCTATTCAGTTACCTATCTTCGGCGATCAAAATAGTTTTTATATTAGTGGCAATATGTTTGTGCAAACATAATATTAATATTGTAAACTTTTCTCTGATGTAAAGCATGTAGTCTGTTAATAGTTATATTGCAGTATTGTATACTATTAATAGTATTTTGTTAATATGATATTGGTGAGGTTGATACCATTGACATAACAATGAGACAATTCAACTAGTGCTTTATTAGTTATTTAGTAATTTCATTTCGTAAGTTCTTATCGTTCAACAGAGCTGGCTAGCAGCCACTGGTAAGAAAAATGATGCCTTGTTGACCACAAGGTTAGAAAAGTAAATTATTAGATTCTTCGACAGCACTAACACCTGCTTAATATCTTATTATTGTACTACACATAATGCATTCGATTTAAAAGAAAAAAAAAAGTAGTATTCTTTTATTCACACGCCAGGAAACATCGCTTGATTTTGTATAAACCCGATATGGATACAACTGTTCTTGTAATTACCTCCGCTTTCATTTTCATATGAGTTTCCGCCTCCACCCTCCTTGTTTTTGGTTTCCGTCTGCATAGTCCTTGTTATTGCGCATCACAGCCACTTCTTGTTGTATTCCGTTCTTTCTTATTGCTTTCTTGGTGTCTTCAAGCGCGGCTGCAGTCGCCCCCGCAGCATCCATTTCCACCACGATTCTTTCGTAATTGCTGCTGCGTCGTCACCCCCCCCCCCGCGTAGCGTTCCATGGCGGAGCGCGCGGCGCACCCCAGGATGCCAGCGGCAGGAGGCGGCGCGGGGAGGCCGGGGGCTGGTTCTTTACGGCGGCCGGCCACGGGGATGAAAGTGGTGGCGGCGGAGGCAGCAGGGATGGCGGGAAAGAGACCGCTCGCGGCGGAACGGGGTGGGAGGGGGGGGTATTGCGCTTCGTGCGGTGGCACGAAGGTTGTAAGGGGGAGCAGCGGTGTCGGGTGAGAATGACAGGAGCGCTGACGCAGTAACAGCGACGAGCCGTGGCGGGGACGCGGGTGGAGGCGAAAGGTGGGGGCAGAAGGGAAGCGCTCGGCGGCGGGTTCTTGCGGTTGGCACGGGATGAAAGTGGGTGCAGTGGAGGCAGGCACGAAGCGCTTGGCGCGTTGCACGGGGCAGGGACGGCGGCGGGATTGTTCGAAAAAGGGAGGCGGCGGGAGCGGCTGCTGCGGTGGCGACAGCCGAAGCGGCCGGGGTGAGGGCGGCGAGGGATTTTGGGCTTACGCCCCCTTCGCGCGCCGCGCCGCGGGGCGTGCGTTGATGGGGTTGGCCGGCGCGGGGTGCGGGGCGCGGAGCGGTGGGGGGCGGCGAGGGCGCGGCACGTGGCTGCGGCCGCGCCTCGCGCGCTGCCTCGTGGCGCTGGGAACTTTTGGTTCGCTTGCAGGCGGCGCGCGGCGCGACGGCAAGCTTGCGAACCAAAGTACGATTACTACGCTTCTGCAATTCTAACACGTCATTGGAAGTTGTGAATGAACCCACGTCTGTTTCATTTTTAATAACTGTACCAAGAAGCTTACTTCTTAGCATTGACAGTTTTATTTTATTTTTTAAATTTTTTGTATTACTGAGCCCTTCACTAAAGCTGATTAGACAACTTCGTTGCCTCCCTTTTTCCTACTTATTTTTCTTCTTTTCTCTTTACCGAATTCATTGTTTCTCTTCATTCAATGAATGTAATCCAGGTATCATTATTGCTCACTTCATATAATGACTGATGTCTCCGCGAATCTGAAATAATGGCTACAGTTGAATGAAGAGATTGTTTTGGGGGAAAGGGTGAGAAAATACTGTATGTTCCTGATACGATATCACGATTATAAACGCACGAGCAGCTGTAACGTTATAATATAATATATAACCAAAACGGCTTCATACGTATCCAGGAAAACCAATTCTTTATAAAAGACATATTTGTGTGTATATACATGTTCTTGAAGAATGACGTTTCATAATACTTAAGCAGTTCTTAATTTTACTTTGAATTAAGAAATTCCGTTGTATTTGGAACTGCTCCTATGGTTTTTGATTAACACATTTTGAAGATTTTCTCTGCCAATGAGCAATTCCGTACGGAATGTCAATGCAAACGTATATGAAAAAAATATATTCGCACATACTTTGTATACATGAAATAAAATGCTGTTAATGCAAGAAATGTGCAAATGATCTATTAATTAAAATAATAAATTGCTCCTTTGTGCGAGGGAATTATTAAATTGTTCAAAACTTTTTCAGAAATTCCTTCTTTCTAAGCATTATATGGAAATTTTTGAAATATCATAACATTAAAAATACAGACGAGTATTTTTAAACACGCATAACTTTTTTGTTCAATTTACATTTTATCTTAACTTCAAAGCTCGCATTCATTTCTTTCCCGGGTTTGTAGGTGAAGAAAATGTCTCTACACTTTGGTATTAATTACGCATGAAAGATTTGTATTACCGCTGTGTTACGCTGAGCCGTTCCGAGAAAGAAGCGATTCACCGGGACCCGAGCCAGTCTCGCATTGTCGCTCCACTCGGTATGTTTCACGCTCCCCTCTGAAAGATCCACCAGCGCACTTTTTTTCTCCGAGCCGTCGACTTTGTGCGCGACGCGAGCGGCGTGTGTGTGTGTGTGTGCCGGCGAAGTGACGCTCTTCAAAGCGGCGTCCTTAGAATGGTGTTATTTGTGCGCAGGTACAAGGACGGCCGGCCGTATCCCTGGCCAGGCTCGTTCATCCTGTATCCGGAGTCCGCCAACCAAACGGTGTACTCGCCCGCCGCGCAGGCCGCAGACGCCGGGAACTACTCGTGCCTGGTGCGCAACGACACGGCCGAGACCTGGCACCACACCAGCCTCACGCTCGTCGGAGGTGAGTATCCAATCCAATTCCAAGTACGCACCAGTTCGCAATGTGTAAAAACTCTCCCAGAATTGTTTCTCGAACAAAACCAACGTGAAACTGTATGAATGAACCCATATATCGTCTTACTTTCATGCTTCGTGTGTTGTTAAGACCATTTACAAAATTTTTCATATATTAATATCCATATAGATAAAAATCCATAAGGCAGAAAGGCGAAAAAGAAACTTAAAAGAACAGCTAATATGCACAGCACATTAGCTGCCCATTAATTTAAATATGTAAAATAAACCTTAAGATCATTTCTGTAGAAATCAAATTATTACAAATTCCTCATCAGTTTTAAAAGTATAATTAATTATATTTTTCATTCAAGTTTCTAAACTTGACTTGAGAACTTTCCTCAGCCGAAAAGTTCACAAAAAGTGTTGTTGTTTTTTACTTCGAACAGAGATTTCCTTTAGCAATGCAGTTATAAATGTGTCTCATTTCTTGAGAATTAAAGATTTTTTTTCTTCGAGTACTCTGGTTTTCTTGTGAATCGTGATAACGGTGAATACGGAGTGTTTTAATTCAATTAATGCTTTAATCACTAGTAAATTTTCACTGGTGACTAGCATGAGGGAAAATAATGTTCTTTGATGATATATCACAAAAATCCTCTGAAGCAGATGTTTATTTGTAACTAGAGGAAAACAAAGTAGGGGAATAAAGTAATACATGAATTAATACAAAAATGTAATGCAGACATTCAGAAGTAAAAAAACACCTTTTTAGAAACCTTTTGGGTGAGAAAATGTATCAAGTTTCTAAACTTGAATGTTAAATATAATTAATTGTTCTTTTGAAACTGATGATGAATGTGTAATAATTTGATTACTACAGAAATGATCTCAAGGTTGATTTTATATATTTAAAATAATGGGCAGCACAGTAGCTGTTCTTTTAAGTTTCTTTTTTGCTTCTCTCCCTTCATCTATATGAGTATTAATATATGAAAATATATTCTAAAGGGTCTTTACAACACATGAAGTATGAAAATAAAACAATATATGGGTTCATTCACTTAGTTTAACAGTTGTTTAGTTTTGATGGAGATACAATTCTGGGAGAGTTTTTACATATTGCAAACTTACGCATACGTTATTGAAACGCCTTTCCTCTGAACATTTCCAAGCAAGTTAGTTAAGAGGCAACAACTTAATTTTTATTGCATTTACTAGTTTCGTGACAATTGGACGCTTCTTTTAATAATGCGTGTAATAATAACGTAACTTCAATGTAGACTGATGTACTGTATTTGAATTGTTCTGCTATTCTCTCCATCCACTTATTGATATCGTGATTTATGAAACTTATTCCATCTCCGGCAAGTTGTTCCGGGAACTCACGTGACTATTTTAGATCTTTCTACTTGATCAGGCTACGATTCCTTAGAATGCATTGACTACAAATTAAACGACTAGATCGCGTGTGCAAGCAGTTACGTTCTTCCTGTCGTTAGTATTGTGCTCCAAGGAACGATAGAAGGAGTCAATTACGTTTATAACGTGGGTCTGAAAATAAATCGGGGGAATTTCATATCGAATACTGTGCCGATCAATTTGTCCAGAGAGACGAGAGCAAAATTAGATATTTTGTATGCCGGTGACATGTAATGTATTGTTGTCGCAGTTTCATATCCGGGTTTTTGAAATTTACTTTTGCGGCTGATCCCCAGCAGAGGCAATTTTGTTTGCCATTTTTGACTATCGTATCACAATGGCGATGGTGTAACGGCGTATGTAACGGTGTAATGGTGTAGCGTACTGTTACACCCAATTTAGCGGGTTCAAACCCGATCTTGGATTTGTAAAAGCGAAAACATCATTCGTGCGCTTTCCTTCGGAGGGAAAGTAAAGCCGGCTGGCCCATGTTAGTATATTTACTGCATGTAAAAGATCCTCAAGCCGAAATGAAGTCTCTGAGCTAAATTCAAATAGCCTGCTTCGACGCCCTAGAATATCTTCTTTCTCCGCTAGTTGGTGAAATTTTCGTGGTCGGACGGAGGAGCAGCCTCCATGACCTGAGCCTCGCCACGTAAAATAAGGCATCAATCCAATTCAATTTCCATATTCGAGAAGAGGAAACGACGAACATATTGATCTCAATCATTCTATGACCTACTTGCGTCGTTTTCTGTCTGAATGCGTATGGAACTTAATTAGGATGGGAACCGTCCGGTTCTAGTGGCCCGCTGCTCTGGTCGGTAGTTTTCTGCAATTTCTCCGGCCAATACCAGGCGAATTCCGGAACAGTACCTTACCAACGGGCCCACGCTTCCCGTCCTTCTAGTCTCGTCTTCTCCCCTTACCTTACAATACCGCTCAACGCGGGAGGCCGTTCGGGAATTTCGAGGCTGTCCCAGCTGGGGCGGAGCTCCGACAACGAGAGTTCTCGAGGGGAGAAACTGACTCCGGTGTCGGCGCCCGCGTCCACGTTCTAGAGGGCGGCGACATCCAGGGGCGTTATATTTTCGGGGCTAAATCCCATAGCAGTTGAGGTGCTTGAAAACACGAAATAGACGAAAGATTTAGTTTCATCAGGCATAAAATATCTGATCTATTACAATAAATGGAATAAACGAGACGTTGCCCATTAAGGATTTTACGCCCTCTACAATATCCGAATTCCAGTTAAGATTCAAACTCGCAAAGTAACAAGGGCACAGTCCTAAATACCACCATTCCAGTGGAGCCAGTATTCGTGGAATTTCTTTTGGAAAATTAACGAAGTTTGTTTTTGTGATCTAGTTTTTCAATTTTTGAAGTAGTACTAATTGGACGATGAAACTATTTCTATAAAAACGCAATGATTCAACGCACAATTTTTCGTCCACAATTTTCTAACTGTTAATATTGATAACGTCAAATAAATTTGTAATCATATTCAACTCAACTAGCTCTGTTACTTGCTTTGCTGTACCTATTTTTTTCTTTGTTGGAAAATGTTTTATTTTATTACTTGTTTTGGCGCTCAAACTGCAATTACTTTCTAAAAGTAAAATTACATGTTCATAGTACTGTGCAGTATGTTGTGAAATGGTCCTATTTTTACATAGCAATGTTCAAATGAGTATGAAACATTAAATCCCATCTCTCTTGCCAAACTGTAATGTAGTCTGTGTTCGTATGTGACATGAAGTTTAGATAGTAGTCAATTTAAAAATCAAATTAATTTTCTTTCTCTTAATATTGCGCAAAGCTATCGAACTATTTCCTCGACTTCGACATCCCACTTCGTGAACAGAATGGTCGTCATACAAAATAGAACTGTAGCTGATGATCAGGGCTCGGATTCTAATGATATACAAATTAGTTGATTGACTCTGAATGTTTATTTATTCAACAAATTTTACAATTTTTAATGAAATGTATTTATATAAAAATATGTTTCATATAAATCTTTATTTAAGAGGCAATGTAATCTTCAGTTCCGATCTTCCAACCGTCAGTTTTGAAAGGCCGTGGAAGGCCGTTCGAAGTCCACCGAAGAAGTGAATTTCGTTATGAACTGACGATGCAATAAAAACGTTGTGTTGTTTTAGTGTGTCATAGTAAATTAATGACACATGCCGTAACAAAAAACACGAAAAGCAAGCAAAATAGGTAAAAATGACAAAAATGGTCGCAATGGTCCCAAAAAGTGACATAAAAGTTGAATGACAAAAAATGACCCAATATGGCCCTACATTTCTATCACCTATTTGTCATGAAGGCGGCGGCGATAGTGTAATGGGTAGTGAACCCAAGCTGGCGGGTTCACTATCGATCGACGCCGATTTTTAAGGGCGAAAAAATTGTTAGTACGCTTTCCTTCGGAGGGGAAGTAAAGCCGACTGTCCCATGTTAGTAGATTTACTTGCATGTAAAAGATCCTCAAGCCTCAGAGCTAAATTCAAATCGCCTGCTTCATCGCCCAATAAATACCCCCTTTCTCCACTAGTTGGTGAAAGGAGCGTAGCGAAATTTGCGTGATCAGACAGAAGAGCAGGCCCGAGTCTCGCCACGTAAAATAAGGCATTAATTCAATTCAATAAACATTACAAGTTAGCTACGTCCAGAAGGCAGCAGTGAAAAGCGGACGCGCGATCAGAACCCGAGCCCGTCTGATCAATTGCCGATCCCGTTATGCACTCGAGCGCACGCGGGCCGCGGGAGCACCACGCGAACCCATCCCAGAACGTTGTTCGCGCATCTGTGAGCTGTCGCCGCTTCTGAGAAAAGTGGCTGGGGATTCAATTGACGGCTCCCTCCCGCCCGCCGCCCGAGGTGCTACTTGCGCTCAGGCGCGCTGCGGAACGCTTTCGTGGCTCCTCGGGGCGCGAATTGCCCCGCTCGAGTCGGAGCAGTCCAACGGCCCAAGCGAAGCAAACGCCGCCTTCGGCTGCAACGGTCCGTTGATTGCAACTTTGTGTATAGAATTTGGGATTCTACTGTTTAAGTTTGGGAATCTTTAGAGTGTTGGGATCTCTGTTATAGTTTGGATTCTCTGTTAAGATTGATCCTTCTTCATTAATTGGATTCTCTGTTATAATTGATTCTCTGTTATAGATTGGAATTCTCGATTGTAATCTGTTATAGATTGGCATTCATCTTATGGTGGTTATCTTTATGATTGATTAATCTGTTATATGTTTCTGTTATGATTGGATTCTTAATGATTCTTTAGGATTTGATTAACTGTATAAATGGATTCTCTGTATAGATGATCTCTTTATAGTTGGATTCTCTTTATAGATTGATTTCTCTGTTATAATGGATTCTCTGTTATAGATGGATTCTCTGTTTATAGATTGTATTCTATTAAATCGATTCTCTGTTATATATGATTCTCTGTTATAGTTTTGAAACATTACGTTACGCGCCAAAACGATTACTTGTTCTGCAACAGCGCTCAAATGTCGAGAAACAATTTAAAAATTGCAATGAAACAATTTAGATTTAGATTTATTTTGTTTTATTTCATAAAAAACGGTAAAAACTGTATGAGTATGGGGGAGAAGAGCAATTAATTGAAAAAATTTAAAAGAAAGCAATGAATCTATTAATAAGATAGATTGCAGTAGGGGTCACTGCTATCGGAGCAAGATCAATGCTTTGCGCATTTGTTGCACGATCTAAATAACATTTTCAGCTTGATTTTTGAATTTAAGTGTTTCCTTTTCTGAACATTTCGTATCTGTGAATCCTTCCGTTTTATGCAGTTACAAAATGGTCTGTGGAGTAAAGTGTTGCAGTTGGGATAATGTTTCTTCACTAAGGTACATTTTCTTACGTACTTACATTTTCAAACCTAGATGGCAGAGACGTTTCTTGTTAAATCAGTCACGTATGTGGAAACATTAAAATCGCTATGAGACGACGCTGTTTCAACCAGTGAATACCACATCACTGACTGTACTGAATAAAAAACAAAAGAAATATTTAGTAACTTCAGATATCAGTGAATGACGAAATAGCTTGCAAGTACATGTATCTATCGCAAACGTGAAAACAATTTAGAATTTCTAATGTTTTCCTACATCTTGAATCAATAACAAATTAAATGGGATATTTCACAACCTTGTGGGTGTAATGGTTCTCTTAAAATATTATCAAAGTTTCGAACTTATATCGTATATAGACTAGAGATCGAAAGCAGCAAAAGTTGATCCTATATTGTGCAACATATTAAAAAAAAATGAAAATGGCATTTTTCGTATCCGCAGCACTTTGGGTCTTGGCATAACATGCGCAATCTCAGTATTGCTGGTGTGTTTCGCTCCATCCAGATTTAATCTTTCGTGCGAAAGTTGAGCCTGACATACCTGAGCCGAGGGTGCGCCTATACATGAGCCTGGGACATAAAATTACATTGTACAGTTAATATCACAGTCAATGCTTCGGAGTGATACGCAAAATGCATTGGAGCTCTGTAAGGGCTGAAACACACAGCGCGGCGTGTCAGAATCAGTGGCACACACGGAGCGCGTTACGAACTAGCTCGATTGGTTAAAAAATGACGATAGGGATGTCGAAAGCACGTAAGTTATGTCAATATTAAAAATGTATTTAAAATGGAAAGTATGAAATCGTAAACCAAGAGGAGATGAATGGAATATGTGGCAGGAGCTTGGAGAATATTACCATCTGTGTCCCATATTTCGAGATATTGAAAAACTTTTCACATTTGTAGTAATAGGGAAATGGGACAAAATGTGTGAGTAACGAGTGAATGAAAAAGTCTACTACTGGAGCAATCGGTGTCCTGACCAATTTCTTCCCAAATATTGACAATAGCTAATAACAACTCAACTCAGAGGATGTTTGTGCTTACTCTGTCAAATAGACGGCCTCGAAAACTGTTAATTAACAGTTCCCCGTCCATATTCACGCGCTGGCTGATTCTAATCGCAAACCGTTCGCGAGAATTTGCGGAGGGAAAAATAAAAAAATAAAATAAAATCAAAGTTGACTGTTCCGAATCCACCTGGTATGTGCTCGTACTCATAACCATTCGTGAAATTATTCTTTCCGCATCCCTTGCAACCTGTTTCTGCCCTTAGACTGAAACATATAATTGCATTGCGCATTGCAATTGCAATTAAAATACAATGTAAAAGTCTTTGCGACTTCACAATAAAATTATCACGCAAAGTGAAACTTTTCAGAAAACTATTTTTTTATCGAAACGACTAATAAAGAGTTAAGCACGCTGCCCTGTAACAGTTATTTTTTCCTCTCTTTTATATAATTGTGAGCATTATTGTAATATGTACATTAAATAAATACAATAAATATGAAAAGTATGTTGGGAATATAAAATATAAAAAGTAAGTATGGTTCCTAAACTGAATGGCTTCGAAAAAGTGGACACCCCACCGTTCTGACACAGTTTTTTGTCCAAAAACTGTTTGGACATTTTATATCGCTCTGAAGCATGTCAACATCCGTGCATGTAGTGGGAGTGATCTGATAGGTGAAGACGATGGTATTTGGAAGGGAAGCTGCAAGCTAAAACTGTGGTTTTAGAACAAGCACGTCACGATTATTGTACGCCCACAAAACCTGGTTTCATTTAGAGAGCTTTTATGCAAATGTAGAATCTATTCAAACTCATAACAAGAAATGCGCAAGGAAGTTCTTCCCCTGTACTGCGGGTTGCACATCAAAAACATCAAGGCGTTCAACGCTTCTGGTTGCTTGCTGGATTGTTTTAGTGATTCCGGACACATCAAATAAAGAGGTCGAGGGTCCCGTAAGTGTAGTATAGGCTTTCTTCTCAGGGGACTGTGATCTTTCCCCCGCTGTATGGCGAGATCCGATGCCGACCTACCGTCGGCAAGCGGGTTTTTTCCCAACCAGTCATCTCCCACCAGCGAGGCACCGCCCCAGACGAGACAATCTCTAAGCTCCCGACTAGTCTCCCGGCATGTGTGCTTGTGGAGTGAGTTTTAGTGTGTGTATGTAAAGGAACATGGAAGACGTAGAAAAGATCGCGCGCGGTCCATGCCCCGTTTGTTAAAGTACAGCTTCGGCATTCGCCTGGTGTTGATCGGAGAAACCACGGAAAGATCGATCAGAGTAGTCGGAATTCTAGAATTCTCCTCCAGACAGCAGCTGAATTTGACCTAACTGAAGTGTCGAAAATTCTGCTACCTTCGGGACTCGAGCCTAGGGCCTCCGCTTAGAGGAACTGCAGCTAGTTGTTTGCCATAAAGTTCTTGTTCGATAGCAATGTCTATTAGCGAAGATGAACAGGGCTGTTTGATTTATCAGGAGGTAGCTCTTTGCCATCTTTTAAGCGTAAGTTAGTTTAAAGATTTGTCAGACGTACTAAGAAGAATTTATTTTTATTCATCGTTTAAATTGTGTCGAGAGACATTAGAGAAAATTAATTTCCAAGAGAACCGCAATTGAGATGAAAACAGTTTCGATACTCGGATGTAATTGATTAGGGATTTTCAAATGAAGGGTGATATTTCAATGATACTGAGATACAACTCAGTATCAGAGCGGGTGTATATAAAGCGATATTAAGACTACGATTTTCTCATTATCAGATGATTCGATTTAAAAAGAATGGATATATCACTCCAGGTTAATGCCAAAACGGATTTTTCTTTCCCGTACATTAAAACTAGTACTCAGAAAGTAGTGTAAGCGTAATACTGAAAAAAATGTCGCCATTTTGGGGAGCCCTGGGGGAAATGTTTTCTTCTTTCGTTTTCATTTTTCTCTCCCCCCCCCCCCCAAAAAAAAAAGACGTATTATTGTCCGTCCGTCCGTTCGTCTATGAGCATCAACAGCACCGAAGCCGTGCGCAAGTAGTTTCCCAAAATGGATGTTCCCCCCAGCGGATACCAAACATTGTGCGAGAATCACTTACTTGGGTCCCGATTAATGTGGATCAATTATCTCTATTAAAAACATAGTGGCATGTTTGGTCAAAGTGAAGTCTTCTGGAATGTATGTGTTCATGTTTCAGAAATGATTATTGACGTTCAATATTTCATTTGTTTGAGGTTTATTGAATTTTGATCTTATTCTTGAATTTTAATGAGTTTTGCTCGACACATTTTTCAAAACAAACACTAAAAACAACAAACAAAAGAAACTGAGGAGTTTTCAACTCTCATTTATTCTTCTAGCTACCTATCCTATTCAAGCACATAAACATTTCGTGAAAACAATGCATCGCATTAAGCACTGCCCTGAAAATATATACGTACTTGTTCAGACGCGGTGAGCTAGCAGCTTAGGCTGTTTTTTACCGAATTCCCGCTATTGTGATCTCTCTCTGTCTCTCGCTGTCTCTCTCCCTCTCTGTCTGTTTCTCGCTCTGTCTCTCTGTGTCTGTGTCATTCTCTTTCAATCGCAAACTGTCTCTTAATTTTGTAAATTTATTGTGCTTTTTTGTTTTTTGGTTAACGTTCGCTTGTGAAATTGTTGCAGAGGCGACCGCAGAGCCCCCCGACGGTTCGCAGTACTCCGGACGAGCGCTGCCAACCTACGCGCCTCGCGACCAGGTGGTACGCCTGGGCGATGACGCGCGCTTTTTCTGCGAAGCATTCATAGGTGAGTTCCCAGAGAGTTCGACACCGCGATCCATATTGCCAGGGGTCAAAGGGTCATCTCAATTATAACTTTTTTCTCTGTCATTTCTGTGTATCTACTTACAATTTATATCATCTCACTTCTATGTTTTGGTTTAAACTGACTAACAAATAAGTGGTATGGACATTTTTGTTTTTGAGTGTGATTCCTTTTTCTGCTAAAATGTTGATGATACTATGCAGAAGTTTTTAAATTACTTTTCATTCAGCTTTTGCGAATGGGTGCGATTTCTTAAAAAACTTCTTAGAATGATTCTTCAGCCGTAAAAAAGCGTAGTAGGTAAACAAGAGTTGGAAGAATAACTTTTTATTGTGAGGTTACTCTTTCCCGGCAACACCTGCACTTGAGGGTAATGAAAAGCAGAGTTGAGCTTAGCCAAAAACCTTGATGAGAGTGTTGCAACAAACAACTGTTTAAATTACCGATTACAAAAAAATGCAACATTTGTATCCGTGGATATTGAAGTGCTTTTTCTCTGTATTCAAGTATTGCTTTAGTGACCGAAGATGCAGCATCACTAAAAAAAACATCGTTATTGAAATGTTAAATGTAATTTGTTTCAACATTTTTCTTTACTGGTGGCTTTAATAACACTAGTTGTGGGACTAGCTTAAGGTAGACTTTTCAATTCCGAATTTAATTTTGTCTTTGAGATGAAATTTGATTTGGTACTGTGTGTATGAATATTTATATTTAAATTTGCACCTTGTTCCTAAGAATGTTGCTCCCTTTGCAGATAATTTGAAGCACATTTTTTGCATTTTATTCACCACAATTTTGTAACTAAAATTCCTAGCTCTAGATATTACCGATTACTTTGGTTTTATAGTTTGCACTAGTCATTAGTGATGGCTAGTTAGGGTGAGTTGTTCTTTCGATTAAATTTTGACAGTTTATGGAAAACTTCACGTTTTTACTGATACAGGAGATTGATTTTAAATCGTTTCGATACTTTCACGAAATGCATGAAAACCTGTTGAACTATTATTATTTACTTTGCAAGATTTTGTTTCAAAACGGACAGTGGTTTGGAAAACAGAAAATCACAGCATTGAAATCAGCTTGAAAATATGTGCTTATACGTAGATGTAAATAAAGGGAAGTGCTATTTTAGAAGTGATTAAATTTACTCGCATTCAGTCCTATTTGCCTACATATTAGTTTTCAACGCAGCAATGTGCTGGAGTGCGTAGACGGATTTGAAATAATGCTCCATTTTTTGGTATTCTGCGTTCCATTGCAATTCGTTTTATAATGGAATTTTTGTATTACGCGCAAAGTATAAAAGCTGTAAAGATGTTGAGTCTATAATGGAGATATCATTCGGTTTGATATGATCCCCAAGTATGATGACTTTTTGTAGAAGTGTTAGAGTATTTATAATTTCAAATATATCTACATATTTGTGTTCTTTAGGTGCAGAGGTTCGTAGAATTCAATCTTCTAAAATCTATAATTATTCATACACCCAAACCTTTCTAATGTTTGGTTTAGAACACCCTATGTACGACATGTCATCATCGATAACGTGCGATGGTAATGATCTGTGAAACGAGAGTTAGCACTACTCTCCAGAAAGCCTGTATGTAACTGGCATTTAGAAATTCCACCATCAATGATAATAGAAAGAAAAGTCCTGATCGTCGCGTTACTGTGGTTTCTTGTCACCGTTGATGCATCTGAGATAAAAAGTACACTGGTGAGGGATAAAGTATTGGCGTTATCATGTAAACACACTGACGAATCGCATCTATCAAATAGTACTTTTTCGCATTCCATACCTGCCCCTTGGGCAGAAGTCAATTTCTCTCTATTCAATATAATGCCTTGCCTTCTTACCTTCTCTCGCGTTTTGCACGCGTCCCTAACGTAGACACTACAGCACTCATTTCGAAAAAAAATAGAATTGGCATTTGAACGCGACTCCGCGCTCGCCTGGCACGCAATGAGTGTCATTCGAGAGGCACTCATTCGTGCCCGTATGCCTGCGTGTTCGTGTGTCGTGTGCGTATGTGCGTGCCTCCTGGAGCTGCTTCTCGTTGCCACAGGTCGCGTGAACCTGCCGGACGCGCACAGCGCCATCTGGTGGCGACGCGAGGGCGTGGTGGGCAGCGTCAACGGCACCACCACGACCACCACGACCACCACAACCACGACGGCCGCGGCCGCCGCCACCACGACGGAGGGCGGCGGCGCCGTCGCCCTGGGCGGCAGCTTCCACCGCGGCGTGCTCAAGAAGGACACCTCGCGGTGAGCACACCTCTCGCGTTTCTGTGACGGGCGCGCCGACTACTATGGCCATTACACACTTGGCTATCCGGTATGAGCGGCGGCTCGATCGATTGGGCTGACGTTTCGGCCATATTTATTTACGTAAAAACAGTTAAAAACTGTGTGTGACGTGCTAGGAGGAGAACTTAATTTGAAGTTACATTTAGCAGCAGAATACTCGGGGAATTTTGAGTTGACGGTGACCTATAAATCGTACAAAACCATCTTTCCACAGCGTGTTTTATTTAAAGAGGGATATGGAGAACTTTGTTATGAGCAAATTAGTTCGTTAGCATTATTCTATGAGAAATGTGTTAAATAAATGAGAAGCAGATGGTGACTGTGAATAGATTTCAAGTCACATGGGAATCAAAATAGAGGCGTTGGTGTAGACGATATTTTTCTTAGCAAGTATAATTCATGATGATGATAATGATAACGATGATGATGACGATGAGTAATGTTGGTACGTGGATAAATTATGTGCATGTTAAATCGTTTTAGAGATTTTGCGAAGATAATTTCTTGCATAGGAAATTAACAACACTTAATTATTTCGTGTATTTTGTCTTAACAATATCTGCTTCATTCGTTAGCACTTTTATTTTGCCCGGTTTCTTCGTATTTTAAAACTGTGGGTTCAAGTCCCACGCCAAATACTTCAACGTGGGAATGATGCACTTTTTCGTCAGTAATTAAAATTAAAGTATTTTCATTGAGAAACGTCTTCGAAACTATTTTGTCATTTTTTGGCCGTACGCTTGCTTGCCTTTGCTTAACGCGGTCTAATTACCGCGTGATTACCCGTAATTAAACTTCGATCCGGCTCGTGCTCATCCGAAGATAGCGCTAGGCGGTGTTCCGTTGGACGCTCTGTGCACCCTTCTTAGAACCACAGAGCGCCTTTTACCGCCAATGTGTGAGAGAGAGTGTACAAAGTCGAAAGTTTTTTGCGCTCTTACTCAATTATATATTTCTGCTTCGTTCCTCACCTTACTTTTCTCTAGTATTTTTTTTTCCAATCTCGTAATGCTCTTTCCACATGACAAAGAAATACCTACGCAGGTATGTTACGAAATAGCATTTTTTTTATTTTCTTTGTATATAAAGAACTAATATACTGTATAAACTCTATACGACGTTATTGCAGAACTCCAGAAATCAGAGTATGTAATTATTGTTTTTGTTAAAGTTTTATTAATAATTTATTGCAGTGTGTTGCGAGAGTATTTTATTGGATATTCTTGAGCAGTATGTGCATGCTGCTTTTTGGAAATCAATTTTGTGTGATTTTGATCAGCAGCATTTTTTCTGCTGCAGGCTACTAGTATTCACTTAATGCTTACCCTGATAATATTTCCAATTCTTTATTTCGGACGATCAATTCTGCTTGAAATTACAAAATCGTTTCAATAGTCAGTATACACTACTATCTATGACACTGATTTCTACTTCAGATTAACTCCCGTTAATTTAATATTTTAGTTCGTCCGCGAGTATAATATTGTGTTTTTAAGATATCCATTATCGATATTTTCCAGAATTTATATTTATGACAATGTTTTCTCTTCATAGCTGTTCCACATAAAGCACATACCCAACGAATTAGCAAAGTACGTTAGTCAATCATTTCCCCTTCTAGTATTTTCGTATTTAAAATAGAGCTAAAAACATCGTGAATACTTGAGGGTTGGGCATCGATCGTCGTTCTAACGTTAGGCACAGTGTTACACTCTTCAGGTCCTTGTTCTAATGCACGTTCTTTGCGCAATCTTTGCTTCTCTGTTCAACAATCTCTTTGCGCAAGCGAGCAAGCCTTCTTTGATCCTCTCGCCCACTGACCGGTGAACACGCGCTGCCGATTCGCGCTACCGCTTTGCATAACTGTCTTCCTCTTGCAATTCACTGAATGACGAATGACGTGTTTAACCTTGCAGCAGCTTCGCTCTCGGCGGCGTGCTCTGCACGGGCTTCATCACCTCCGCGAGTTTCCGCGTGCGAGGAAAACGTGGGAGACCTTGACGCGCGTTTCGCGATTCCGAGTAGGTCCTCGGCTACCGGGAACGGGAACAGGATGTATCGAGCCCGTTTCGCGCTATTGTCATACTCTTTCGCAAGTGGGTATCAGTGAGCGACCTCTCCAGCCTTCCCTCTAACGAGTTTTAATGACCGGGCCTTCGGCGGCGTAAGAAGTCGCGGCGGTAATTGGCCCGCGATGTTTCTTATTTCACGCGAAGTATTCGGCTCGTTCGGCGCTGAGTCACGTTGGTGAAGCGGTGTCGTTATATCAGATGGCGGCAGGATCATCAATTCACCAGGCAATATCACGATCACTTTAATGCTTACTCACTGCAACCTTTGTTGCCGTTGTCTAGTCGCTATTCACAGTTGAAGCAGCCTTGAAGTCGACGCGGAACGAAGACACATGTAGATCTTTTTTCATGTGCACCATAACAATATGGGTTCAAAGTTTTCTAAGTCTGAAGTTCCGCTGAATGCGATACGAGCATTTTTACGTCGGGGTTGCTGATGTTGCTGCGGACTTTCGGGAAGAGATGTTCGTTGTTTACGAGCGCCCAACGACACGTCATTAGTGAAGACCGACTGTTTATGTGGGGTGAGAGAACACTTCAATAACATTGTTATTGTGGTTTTGTGCGGAGCGCAGGGCCGCGTCTGGCGAGGAGGTTGTCCTGTAATCCGGCGCTTTGCGTGCGTGCGTGCGGGCTCCGCGCAAACAGACCGAAGCCAGGGCCCTGGGGCTTCCCCGAACGCGGCGGCGCCGCCCCGAGACACAGCCTCCTCCGGCGCTTTGGAGAGTTTTTGCTCCGCGGGGAAGCGTTACAGCAGTCAGCAGCACTATCGATCTTCTGCGCATGTGCAGTTCGAGTTTCGCATCACTAGTGAGTTTTTGAATGGAGGAAGTTACAGCAATTGGCAGCAATATCTATCTTCTGCGCATGTGCAGTTCGAGTTTCGCATCACTAGTGACTTTTTGCACGGCGAGGTGTTACAGCAGTCGACAACACTATCTATCTTCTGCGCACGCGCAATTTTGCATGAGTTTTGTGCATCTGTACGGAAGCAGAAGGAAGAGACTGCTGTCTATTTCTGTACACTGTGCCGTGCGAAAAATCCCTTTGTTTGATTGGAGCCGCAGCAAACGGGAAAAAAAAGAACCCCGGCCCTCGCCCGGGAAAGGACAGTTTCGGAGCACTGATAGAGCTTTCACTGTAATTGAATTCGAACAAAAATACTTTTTTTCCTATCTTAATATCTGTCAATTGCGTAAGTAGACATTAAAAGTGTCTACCGATACTCTTCTATATTTTGAAAATGTGGAAAAGACTGATGTGTGTCGATGAACGTGGTGATATTTTGTCCATTTATTGAGGTAAAAAAATTTGGTTATTCTTATGAAAAGTTCTATTCCATTATTTATTACCGTTTGCTATTCAATCCTCAACTTAGACTTTAAGGATTCGACTACTTTGGTTTGTGTTTACCTGAAAGATAGTTCTTGAATAATAATTGGAGTACTTAATTGTATTTTCCCTAGCGGCGGTAAAATTTTGTACTAAATGTGTACGAAAAATATATTGGAAATGATGGTATAATATTAAATAAGTTTAATGGCTGAATTGACACGGTGATGGTTTTTGCTTAAATGTTGTAATACGGTTGCTCCTCCTTCTTTGAATGTGTTCCATGTGTTGTAATAGTGTCTCAGGTTCCCTTTGACTCGACTACAGAGATACGTAGACAGACATGGAGGAGGAAATATCGCGTCTACCGTGAGCTCCCGGAATCTGAGCTGGATGATAGAGCTCTATTCCGTTAATGTGAAACGGTTTAGTGTCGCAAACACAGTAGGAACTAAACGCGTTTGCAGTTATATGTGAGAACAAATTGAAGTTCCTTGAATTTGCCACTGTCCTGTTACACGCGACACCTCGACATTGCAAAAGGAGCGTTAAGAAATCAACATTATAGCTGAGAAGAATCCCTGGCGATCTGACAAGTTTGCATACTAGTTGCAAGTGTTTAATAAATAACAACCTAATCATTACAACATAACTATTCACAGGAATTTACATAATTTGATTTTGAGACTATTGGCAGCATCATTAAAACGTCTTCCGTATCAACGTTCTGTCCAAAAATGCTGTTAAAGGAGTTGGTTACGCTTGATGTTTGGGATGTCTGCTTAACTTATTTCAACGTGGGTATTCTGTATCACAGAAACTAAATCGTGGATAAAAATGTGGTATAGTATATTCAGTCTAAACGTAATGTATTAAGCTAAAGGAACAAACTCTTTTATTTGCATTTTCCCAATTCAGTGATTTAGGTTTGCTAAAGATTACCATATAAACAAGATATTCTTTTCGCTTTTTTAACCAATGGGTGTGAATGTGCTGGAAGGACTTGCGTATTCTGTAAGCTGACCCAAATTTTGTTATAAAACGTGCAAGAAGAACAAAATGAAAAGTATGTGAATGCATGCCTACACAGTTCCAGGTCTGTGCATAATTAAGCATAATTCACCGTAAGTAGCATAGGGCGGCGAGCAGCGAAAGCGCGGAGAGGTCCTTGGCCTGCGTTATGCAACGCGCATTTGCATGGGGGCGAGCGCGAGGCGCCGAGTGGCGGCGGCGCGCAGCGCGGCGGATCGCGTTGGCTGCGGTTCGGCACCTTTCCGCGAAGCCGCGCTCTTCCGTCGGCGGCGGCGCGCCGGAACCGCCACCGCCTGTCCATCCGGCGCGGCGCGTCTGACCGACCCGCC